TTGAACACCATGAACATTCAAATATTATTGTATTATTTCCATGTGTCTTTATGTGTTTGTACCGCTGTTGTTTTGTTGTGCCTACATAGCCACATGTATCACACATGTAGTGGTATTCTTTCTTATAGAGAAGTTTGGATGCAAAGAATATTTCTTGTTCCAAATCTATTGGTTTAGGTTGAGACCCTGTGGAGTCAGAGTTTTTAATCTCCGTATCCATACTTCCTCAAGTCTTAGACGTTTGTTTATGTTACGTTCACTTCCTTGGATAATGATGACATTGACATCGTTTATCGTATGTCCCGCGCTATTAAAATGGCGGGAAATTGGTTTTGTAGTATTTCTAGTTCTGACGTCGGCCTTATGACCGTAGAATTGATCATGTAATGTGTTTCCTGTTTGTCCAACGAACTGTAGGCTACATTGTTTGCATGTAATAAGATAAATAATACTAACAGTTGTGCCATTCAAATGGCTGTTTATGGAGTATTTTGCCTTTGTTACTGTACTAGAGAATTCTGTCGAGTTTGTCATGTATTTACAAACAAAGCATTTCTTACCACATGTGTAACTGCCCTTTTGTAGCAACTGCTGGTTAAGGTCGGACCTAACCAGCATGTCTATGACGGATTTAGCTCTACATATAATGGACAGAATCTTCGTAAATTTTATGAAGTTGGTGGAAGTGCTGCATGAGATAATGTGAAGGTTTCTATTAAAGATTCTTCGAGCATTAGGAGTGAATGGATTATAGGTGTATGTGAACAGAATAATTCTGGACTTTGTTTTTCGTGTCCCTGTTGGTGGACAAAATTTGTAGTCTGTCCAATTCTCAGCTTTCTTGATAGCTTTTTTTACTAAATCCTTAGGGTATCCTCTCACTGTGAGATTTTGTAAAAGATATTCTGCGCATTTAGGTATGCTGTTGTACCGCTACAGATCGGTCGTAATCTTACCGCTTGGCTGTATGGGATGCTCTTTTTTTGGGTGTGTAGGGTGGTAACTAGTATAATGTAGATACATATGTGCATCTGAAGGTTTGGTATAGACCGTAGTGTGAAGAATACCTGTGTTGTCCTTACTAATTTGAGTGTCTAAGAAATTAGCTTCCTTTGGATTGATATCATAAGTAAAATTAATTGACTCATGAAATTGGTTTAAACAGGCCATGAGGGAATTCAATTCCTGTCTGCTGTGCGGCCAAATCATAAATATGTCATCGATGTATCTCCACCAGAAATCTTGACTCAAGATGTGCCATAAATATTATTGCATAGCTAGGGGCGCATTTTGTTCCCATATTTGTTCCTGATATCTGGTCATAAAATTTTCTGTTGAACTAAAAACATGTTTTCTTAAGCACAAAAAGCATAAGTCGGAGAATGATCCATGATTTAGGTTTGTCTTTTCTTCGATTATGAAGGGCCTCTCTTAAGGCCCATATGCCGTCTTTATGCGGTATTGATGTGTACAAAGGGGTTACGTCGATGGTAACCAAAAGAGATTTCCTGATTAGTTAAATTTCAACAGGAAATTATTGGTGTCCTTGATATATGAGTCTACTGCCTGTGCCAATGGCTTATCATGATAGTCAATATACCTTGAAATAATCTCAGTTGGGCCATTGCATACCAAAACTATAGGTCTGCCGGGATTATTTGGTTTGCGTATTTTGGGGAGCATATAAAAGACCGGTGTTCTGCAATGTTTAGGTTTTAGATAGGCTAGGTCTTCTTCTTATAGTAGACTGTACTTCTTTAAGTAATTTAGAAAGTTTATTTCAGCAACTTTTTTGTGAGTTTTATCAGAAGATACTAATTCATAAAATTCATTGTTGTTAAGTTGTCGGAGACCTTCTTTAATATATGCGTCCTTATCCTCATCTACTAATCATGACTAACCTCCATGCCAAATATGACGACTGTAGGTCAAAGGAATCTTAAGTTATTAGGCGGACAAGCTTTTTAAAGTCAAGGCCCCTGTGACCTTGACCTTTGACCTGGTGACCTCAAAATCAATAGGGGTCATCTACTAATCATGACTAACTACCATGCCAAATATGAAGACTGTGGGTCAAAGGAATCTTAAGTTATAGGGCGGAAATGAAAAAACCGACTGCCGGACGGCCGGCCGGCCGGACGGACAAGCTGATTCCAGTATACCCCCCTTACAACTTTGTTGTGCGGGGGTATAATAATACTAACAGTTGTGCAATTCAAATGGCTGTTTATGGAGTATTTTGCCTTTGTTACTGTACTAGAGAATTCTGTCGAGTTTGTCATGTATTTACAAACAAAGCATTTCTTACCACATGTGTAACTGCCCTTTTGTAGCAACTGCTGGTTAAGGTCGGACCTAACCAGCATGTCTATGACGGATTTAGCTCTACATGTAATGGATAGAATCTTCGTAAATTTTATGAAGTTGGTGGAAGTGCTGCACGAGATAATGTGAAGGTTTCTATTAAAGATTCTTTGAGCATTAGGAGTGAATGGATTATAGGTGTATGTGAACAGAATAATTCTGGACTTTGTTTTTCGTGTCCCTGTTGGTGGACAAAATTTGTAGTCTGTCCAATTCTCAGCTTTCTTGATAGCTTTTTTTACTAAATCCTTAGGGTATCCTCTGGCTGTGAGATTTTGTAAAAGATATTCTGTGCATTTAGGTATGCTGTTGTACCACTACAGATCGGTCGTAATCTTACCGCTTGGCTGTATGGGATGCTCTTTTTTTGGGTGTGTAGGGTGGTAACTAGTATAATGTAGATACATATGTGCATCTGTAGGTTTGGTATAGACCGTAGTGTGAAGAATACCTGTGTTGTCCTTACTAATTTGAGTGTCTAAGAAATTAGCTTTCTTTGGATTGATATCATAAGTAAAATTAATTGACTCATGAAATTGGTTTAAACAGGCCATGAGGGAATTCAATTCCTGTCTGCTGTGCGGCCAAATCATAAATATGTCATCGATGTATCTCCACCAGAAATCTTGACTCAAGATGTGCCATAAATATTATTGCGTAGCTAGGGGCGCATTTTGTTCCCATATTTGTTCCTGATATCTGGTCATAAAATTTTCTGTTGAACTAAAAACATGTTTTCTTAAGCACAAAAAGCATAAGTCGGAGAATGATCCATGATTTAGGTTTGTCTTTTCTTCGATTATGAAGGGCCTCTCTTAAGGCCCGTATGCTGTCTTTATGCGGTATTGAAGGGGTTACGTCGATGGTTACCAAAAGGGATTTCCTGATTAGTTAAATTTCAACAGGAAATTATTGGTGTCCTTGATATATGAGTCTACTGCCTGTGCCAATGGCTTATTATGATAGTCAATATACCTTGAAATATTCTCAGTTGGGCGGTTGCATGCCGAAACTATAGGTCTGCCGGGATTATTTGGTTTGCGTATTTTGGGGAGCATATAAAAGACCGGTGTTCTGCAATGTTTAGGTTTTAGATAGGCTAGGTCTTCTTCTTATAGTAGACTGTACTTCTTTAAGTAATTTAGAAAGTTTATTTCAGCAACTATTTTGTGAGTTTTATCAGAAGATACTAATTCATAAAATTCATTGTTGTTAAGTTGTCGGAGACCTTCTTTAATATATGCGTCCTTGTCTAAAATGACGACTGGGCCACCTTTGTCTGCACTTTTTATTACTATATCTTTGTTTGAGGGTAGAGAAAAAATAGCTTGTCTTTCTTCCGCTGTTATATTTGAGTTAGTTTATTTTGTGTTAATTTTTTTAAAAGTTGTAGATTTGTACTCACAATAAAGGTTTCTAGCTCAATCGATTTAGAGATAGGTGGTGACCAGCCTGATGGCTGTTTAAATGGGCTTTATTATATAGTTACAACAGTACAGACACTTCACCTCCCAGACACTTCACCCTAGGCCCTTTTTTGCAGACACTTCACCCCTCAGACAGTTCACCCCTCATTTTAAGAAATTTGATTGAGACACTTCACCCCTCATTTTTTTAATTTTGTGTTAAACAATTATTTATGTAGATTATGTTAAATACATTCAATAGTGATTGAGTATGTTTATTGTTTTAAGCCATTGTCTAATAAATTTTGAGTTGATTTAATTCTTGAAGTTTTGGTACTTAATTAAGTTTGATTTCAGTTTGATCCTTACCATATAATAATCATTGAGTTACGTTCATTTGGTGATGGTTTGTGCTTTAACCTTGTGCTTAATTTACATAACTGGTGCTATTTATTTGTTTAATAAATGACATTATGAATGATCTTTGTATTAAATGCAGGATAATTGTGTCTGATAATGATGATAAATAATTTATATTTATATTTATTATATTTTATAAAGCAACTGATTCATTCATTCATATTCATTTATATTCATTTTATTTATTTATTTATCTATTTAATTTATTTATTAAGAATAAATTTAATTTTCATACAATTATACCATTTTAATTCAATTATCTAATCAATTGTGAGATAACCGTTGAATAAACAACTAATCAACATGTGGAATAAACAAGGTGACATGCAATAAACACTTAATGGATGAAAGTGCTGTGATATATCATTTGACAATTCAACCAATTAACCTAAATCAGCTTTAAACTTAGTAAAAATAAAGGTAATATGCAAAATTTTTAATCAAATAATACTAAAAATAATAAATATAAACATATATAAGCATTTTGTTGTTGACCAACTTGTTTTATTTACTTTATAGAACAAAATGGGATGAGGGGTGAAGTGTCTTACTGTTTTTGGGGGGTTAAGTGTCTTAAGGGGTGAAGTGTCTTCAAAATTTGAGGCGTGAAGTGTCTGGGGGGTGAGGTGTCTTGCTACCCAGTACAACAATTTATTATTATCATATCAGAGATGTAATCTATGTTTTACTTCTGTCAAATATAAATAGGGGTCTAAGCAAAGAGATAATGATTGCTGAGAAGATGAGATAAATACTACATAGATATTTCAGATTGTTAAGTTCTTTTTGTAGATTTAATAACAAGTCTACCTTTCCTTCTTCCAAGTTGATGTAAAATTCACTCCATCCAGCGATTCGTCTGTAAACATTGTCACTTTTCCCGTCCTTTTCCAGATTATATAACGAAAAGTTCTTATTAATCAATTAAACATTATCTAAATAAATATACTGTTTTGATTAAATCATTTCCGTTCAGGTAATAATACGCCTAACATGCCGAATGTCTTAGACACTCAATTTATTTGTTTACATGCAAAATATTTATTCAGTGTCGTCAGAAGCATTAATTTATTAAGCGACTGCGTGACCGTGATTTGGTATGACTAAATTATAGATTTGGTATGACTAAACTACATAACGGAGATATTTTTGGCGCAAAGGATGTTCAACGGAGTTCACAATTTAAAATGCAGATGAACTTCAGACTGAATTAAATGCTACTCAGTATGCTAGAATATTGTAATTTTTGGAACTTAAAAGTGAATTCTGCAAAACAAGGGTTGTAATATTTTTAGGGACAGGAATCGTATGGAAGATGCACCTAAACTTTCTTTTGATAATGAGGACTTCTCATGATTTTTTAGGTATTCAACTATGGACAATAGCTAGTTAATTTGCTTAAACTAGAAAACGTCTTATTGAGCAAACGAAGAAAGCTATGTTCTTTCTGATAAAAAAGCTAGAAAAAATGTTACCATAATTTATCTGTAGATTTACAGATCCACTTGTTTAATACGATGATTGTTCCTATCCTTTAATTATTATGGCTCTGAATTTTGGGGAATAGAAAATTTCAAGTGTATTGATCAGTTTCAGCTTAAATTTTACAAAATTATACTTAATCTCAAGCAAAATACTCCCAATTGTATGTTTAAGATTAACTTGGAGTTATTCTGATATCGTTGCAAACAAAAAGAAGAATTATTAACTACTGGTGTAAGCTTTTGAATTGTAATTAAAGATGCTTAGATTTGTAATATTTGATATAAGACTGCATACTCTTTATATGTTAGATGTAGAACTAATTACCGTAGATTTCTTTTGTTAATGATACATTTTGTACTTTGGACCAACATGTATCAAATTATTGGTTAAGTCAATCTGTACCTGGTCTCCTTAATTTCAAAAATCTTGTTAAGTTCAAACTACGAGATTAGTTCATCAAAAGTTGGAACAGTGATATCCAATCTTTTAGAAAATGTTCAAAACTAACGTTTATATAAATCAGAGTTTGTATTAAGGTAAGTTAACATAATTCCTTGGCAACCTTGGCAACAGTCTTCAGCTTTGTTAACATTTAGATGTATGAATCGTAAATTGCCAAGCCCGAAATATGGAGAGAAACTTATAATTTCTTGCATATCAGACTATAAGAATCTTACACCGGCTGCCGGTACAGACAGGAATATCTAGCTCTCGGGTGACTGTTTACGGCGGAAACTCGGCTCAGACCGGAATATCTAGCTCGATGGTGACTGTTTACGGCGGTAACGAGGCTCTGCCGAGTTTCCGCCGTAAACAGTCACCCGAGAGCTAGATATTCCTGTCTGTACCGACAGCCGGTGTTTGATTCTTTTTCTTGCATATAACATATCAATTATTTTTAAACAGAAATTACAAAAACGGATATTCTCATAACGCACTTTTTACTTATAGTAGCGTATGAACTGACAATTTCATTCATAACGGTTAAGTGACGTCATCCTAAGAACGCAATTCATTCATAAAAGGCTCGCGTCAATGACGTCATTTAAAACACGCGACTTGTCTTACATGGGGGGTGTAAGATAGAGTTTTCTAGCACCGGTGTAAACGGTAGATAATCCTGTCTGATATGCAAGAAATAGAGAATAACATTCTACTGTCTTTTGATATCAATTTTATCAGGCGAGGCTGATATGGGCTAGAAAGGGCGAGGCTTGCCGAGCCCTTTCTGCCCATATCAGCCGAGCCTGATAAAATTGATATCAAAAGACAGTAGCATGTTTTTCTATTTATCATGTAACACATAAAAACTGTAAAAATAACTAAATTATCTACTTTTAAATAGCGAATTTAGTAAAAAAGGGGATTTTTGTTCAAAGAAATAATTCTTGAAAACAAATTCCTCCGCCCCTTAAACTTAGAATTTGTAAATGCAGTGGCGGCCATTTTTTCTTTCGACTCCGATAAAAGATACAGCAGAATGTAGGCCTAACACGATCAAATTCTTACCTTTAATTTAAACATTGATCCAAAAAATCCCTTAGTACAGTAGAATCACATAAACTTTACTGCACTTTTTGTCTTGAATTGTCAAATTCAAAAGTTCACGATAATTTCAATCAAACAAAAGTCCAATCGGCAATCAAACACAAGCTTCACAAACATGCGTCTTATATGCTTTTTAAACGAAACAATTTTGTTCACTTATTAAATAATAATCCGGTAAAATAAAGTAAACATTTACAAGTTCTCAGCTATTATTGTTTGTTATGTTTACATGTACAGTATGACGTGAACATTGATGATGTCATTTGCAATATAAATTATGACGTCACTTCATTTAGTTGGTGTTAAAACTATTCGCTATCTAATTTATTCGTAATTGAAATCAAATTATAAATAAATAAATATCGCATCTTGATTCAAGACTTGTAAGGGTATGCAATTACATTGTAGATTGACATGCTGATGAAAATGAGAATTAAGCAATTGAAAAAAGTCCGTTCAAATGGGCGGGGCTTATTTTTGATATCAGGTTACTGACCTGATATCAAAAATAATTATCAGGCAAGTGTTATCGGGCAGTTATCATAGCAGTTGCGTGATAAAAGATTATCTACCGTTTACACCGGTGCTAGAAAACCCTGTCTTACACAAGTCGCGTGCTTTAAATGACGTCATTGCTAATGAATTTCGTTCTTAGGATGACGTCACTTAACCGTTATGAATGAAGTTGTAAGTTCATACGCTACTATAAGAAAAAAGTGCGTTATGAAAATATCAGGTTTCGTAATTTCTGTTCTGAAAATAATTGGTATGTAATATGCAAGAAAAAGAATCAAACACCGGCTTTGGTACAGACGGGAATATGTAGCTCTCGAGTAACTGTTTAGCGGAAACTCGGCAGAGCCTCGTTACCGCTGTAAAAAGTTATCCTCGAGCTAGATATTCCGGTCTGTACTGGCAGCCGGTGTAAGATTCTTATAGTCACTCATTCTCCTGTTTTTTATGTATATTTTCATATATTTTTCTGTTGTTGTTTTTTTTCGGTTGTTACATGTTCACAATTTTGTAATACATGTCATACGTTCTTATAAACCATGAAAATCTTGAAATCTCAAAATAAGAATTTTTTTCAATAAATGAATACACAGCGAATATGACTTTTTATTCAGGGGCCAAATTTTATAATTGTTTGTATCTATTTTTTATCTTAACCTTATAAATTATATGATCAAGAAAAAATATGAACAAAAATATCATTATCTTTGATAATTTCGAATCATATTCGGTATCTTCTGTCCACCACGGATATTACTTTTATAGAACGTTTATAGATTAATGTTTTCATGAACACTGATACTCTAACAAGGAGAAAAATAAAATAAATACAATATTTAAGATATGCTTTAATAAATATTCAGATACATTTTGCAGCTCTATATTGCATTAGGCAAGGTTCGGGTGTAACTATTGTTTGGCTGTATCCAATGCACTGCGCATGTCCGGTTTCGGTGATCGGCAGTATAGCGTATCTATGTCGAACTACTGTGACCATAGTTACCACCAAAACCCTGCCATGATAAGTGTGTTTGTGCTGCTGTTAAAATGTCACATGTATGTAATGATATACTGTATAATATTTATCAAGGCCATGCATCACTAGTTCTAATACTCGATTGTTACGATTGCTGTGTCAGCAAAGTCAAACACATCCAGAGGAGCCACTGAAAAGAGAGAATACTGTGTAAATGATATTTTCTTACCATTTTAGAATATGTTCCAATATAATCAGAATTTATATGATGTCGAACACAGAAAACCGAAAAGATAAAGCTTTTCAAAACAGAATTAAGATGTGCGCATCTAAGTGTAGCTTAATTATGCCCATGTACAAAAATGTATTTAAATAAGTTGTAAGTTGTCTTACAAGCAGCCTTAAAGTGAATTGGTCCGTAAATTAAGGTCCATAATATTATAAGTAATAATGTTTTAAGAAATAAAAATACACCGAGTCCAATCGTTCAGCTCTAATCGAAGGTGAAGAACGCTGGTGAGATAAGATTTTAAGGTGGAAAACGGGAATTGTGATAAGAAAATCGTCTAATAATTCTTTGACAATGCATAATGTCAGATAAATATGTTCATCTCATTTGATTTATTTATCCGATGGTCACTCTAATAAGAAAATGTTTCGTTATTTGTTTTCAGATCATTATCGACAACTGCACACAGCACAAGAACATCCCTAAAATTGGAGTGAGAACGCTTTTTGAGAGTCATAATTTTGACAAGTTAGCAAAGTTTTGAGCATTTGTATCGCTTAAAGGTGCGTTTAAAACATATCCGCGTGCACAAAAAGTCTTCTCTATTTCTGCTCTGTAATTTTGTTTGTTTGCTTTTTTTCAAAACAGTCAAGTGTATTTCAAATCTTTATGGAAAATATGTATTTTGTTGACCAATCCACTTAAAGGTTCATACATTCCCCTGTATGAATTTCTCTCGGGCATTTGTAGTACAAATTTTACATGGCAGCAAACAAGAAATGAGAACAATGTACAAAAATTTTAAGAAAAGTGAAACTTTAAATATTCAAGTTATACCGGTAATTTACATGTTACTAGTACATGCGTTTATTGACTGATTTTGCAGTATTTATCACCATATTATATACTGCGTGACTAACGGAGTAAGGGCTATTTTACATATTCTGACCTTTTTTTTTTGATACTTCGTAGATTTTATGCGTCGGGTGAACACGTAAATTACTTTCTTTGCTTACTTGACAGTATTTTACTTTTTAATACATTTTAAAACTTTTCGTGAAAATAAGGGTGAATCTGGAGGCGTGTCACTTTTATCGGATCATATAGCACAACAGTCTTAATCGATGATTTACTGTAACATGCATGTATCTTTATACTATAATACAAAGAAATGAAGTAAAACTACATACGTAGATGTTCTGCCATGGCAGCAGTAGTTCCAGTATTGTACCAAATATAAGGATAGTCTCTTGCGATTTGGAAAGGGCAATTATAGTCGTCATATGGTTCTATTGTAAGAAAGTGGGCAAACTGCCCGCAACCTCCATCAAGAATAGCGAAGGCAGCAAAATTGAAAATCGGTGGCCGGATAAGCCTAAAAAATAAGTCTTAAATCAATATACGACATTGAACACATATAAACACAGATTGAACACAAATTTAGAATAAATTTGGGCTTGCTCCTGACCTTTTATAGAAACCTATGTTGTGAGAATAACAAGCTCGCTTTGAACTTTTGAATCCCTGTACATGGAGCTGATTCTTTTGATGATGTTACCATTTTGTATCAAGATATAAGCCCAGATGAAGTACATATTTGTTTTTAATTTAGTCAGAATAAGGAAACTATCGACTTATAAACATAATCCGCATTTCTGTAACACAAAGATACTTAAGTTTGAATTAAAGCAATGCCGTCATCATTTATTAAATGCCGATAATCATGCATGCTCAATTCATTCAAAATATACTAAATTATGATGCCTGTTTTTCGCCATGTTGTAATTCTCGCTTCTTCGCCTGCGAAATGCGAAAACACGAAGGGACGACAAAGTTTGACTTTGCATTTTCGAGATGAAAAAAGCGAAAATACGACAGAAAGAGGGCGAAAATACGACACATAAAATTTGTCATACCTTCGCATTCCATGTGACGTATTTTCGCTTTTTCGCGTTCGTCGTATTTCCGCTTTTTCGCGTTCAAAATACAAAAATGCGAAAACACAAAGATACGACAAAGTATAAATTCCTACGCAGTCGGTTACATGACACACATACACGATAAAATATAATCCGGTGCCATGCAGTAAATCTGTTCCAAAAACATTCAAAAATATTTATGAAGAAATCAGTTATTTTAATGCTCGTTCATAACTGTTCAACAACGCAATGAACACTAATAAAGTATTGGGACTTACGGATTATGAATCGCCTCTCTTAAAAATACAGCCGATCAAATAAACATATTTTATCGACCTTATAATTTCTATGTTTTTTTCGTTCTTCAGATTTTTTAAAAAGAGTTTTGTAAAACCAGCTGTCAAGGCATTGCAAAGTTCAAGGGCTTCTACAGATGTTATAATGCGCGAAAAAAGTGCATTAGCACTATTCTTCCCGTACGTCTTATTCCGTAATTTTGCGTTTCCTTGTGTTTTCGTAAAATAAACCGGTTTCGTAATACTTTGATGATTAGGTGTAATAAAAGAGATCATCAGACATCTTCTTCATAGTGTTTAGTGTTGAGAATGATTGCCATTCGGAACTGCCTCGTTGGCGCAACGCCCTTATGGAATGAGAAAGGGCAATTGCAACTTCTCGAGCCTTTTCGTCGGCCATAATAGCCGAACATTCCGATTTGTATGAGTGTTTGATTATCAATAATGAAATGTCGCGATATGTCAAATGAATAGCGATTTGAAAAATTTCGCAATGTTCAAATGAAATTATCTTATCCGTCAATTAATCGCGCTCTTCGGTATTTTTATTAATCATTTTGTAGTACACAGTGGGTAATTATGTGTGTTATTCCCTGCGGTCTGGAGACCGTATTGGTACGCGTTTAATTAACTTTTGAGGCATGGAGGAGCACGTGACCTGTTTTCGGTACATGGAGGAGCATGTGATCTGTAAACCGTACATGATTGGTTACTTGACCTTTTCGAAAACGTGGCTAAATACCGTTTTCCGGTACGTTACGGATAATCCTCTAGGGAATAAGTCAGAATTACACCTAATTAAGATCAAAAAACTATTACGTGATATTTTTAATTTTCTATAATTATAATACCGTTTAAGCTGGAAAAACTTGAATGATGTGTTTGAAAATTATCAATGTTTCTTTAATATGTATCTCAAAATGTTACAAACAATAAATTGTTTATACTGAAAATCTACAAAATTAAAATATTCGTAGTGGCATCTGCCATAATAAATAGAGATGTTTTCTGCGAAAACTTGTGTGTTTGCTTTTTTTTTTGCTCGGAATTATTCATAAAATGGTAGGCCTATTTAATCATTTTCTTAAAAAGAAATATTTTTTTTATGTTCGACCTTCTCCGGTCATTAACAGTCACCAGTTTCCAAAGACCTTCTTCTATTTTGATCGATTATTGTCAACTATATTCCTGATACAAACGTTTATTTATCCACCCACCCAAACAATGTTGAAGATAGTTAAATGAAATATCTTTATATCATCAAAAATGTTCCCCGCAGGAAACCATTTTACTTGTTGTTGCTTTACCTATAAATAGAATGATGACCTGAACATTGTGAAAGTCCGAAAATCTATTTATAGAAGTAGTTTTAATTTACCGAAACGGCCGGTCATTCGTGTCGCAACGAACTGAAGAATTTTGCAGGGAATGAAATGCAAACATATTAAAACAATTAATTGCAATCTTTAAGTAGGCAATTTTTACGAATTGTTTATCATAGTATTATCATTCTTCGTCTGCAATTTTAACACGAGTTGTTACGGGTTTATTGATAGGCATGCAAACACACATTTATTACAGATAATAGCCGAGGCAGTTCCGAATGACACTTACGCCGAAGAATTAAAGGGAGATCACTGCGAGGAGATCAGCCATCCTGGATAGGAACCATAATAGCAATCTCCACACAGTGATCTCCCCTTAATTCTTCGGCGTAGATCTCTGCCACCAAGGTCCCAATATATCAGAATTTCTACCAAGGGAGGTAATCACTGTGAGGAGTTTGCCATAATAGAACAGGGAACCAGATTAACATCGGTCCTTCAATCGGAACATCTCGGCTATTATTCATAAAGAAAACGAAGACTGACGGAAAGGGCCGAAAAGTTGCGATTGTCGGTCCTTATCGCAAGTTTGACGGAACGGGCCGAGAAGATGCAATTGTGCGTGTTTATTTTACATGGCGTTCTGTGTTACGAATATTTAAATACGTGCAAAACTGCGGCACGTGCTCACGTGTTTAATGTACATAAATCTCTAAATACACTCACGCTAATGCAAATACCACTAGTGCCTCCTGTGGAGTTAGAGATGTGTAATAACTAACGATGTCCGTGTAACTACTGTTGATAACTCTGTCTAGGGAAAACCAGTTGGTGTAGTTACTGTTTGTACCATTGAACAAAACGTACTTCACTTCTGTGCAATCTTTATATATCGAGTATCGCACCTGTGCAAAACATGCAGCCTAAAACTTTACATTTATTGCAATACAAAACAACTATTGTACTTGTAATTAAGATAGACACTAAAGAAAAGACCAAAGACCATCCTCGGGTCGGTCAATTCTTTTTTTGGAGAAAACGAAGAACAAGATTATAAGCTATTTCAGACCTGTAAGTAAATGCATTGATGTAGTATAATGTCTTTAATCAAATCTTAAGGCAGTTAAATAAGGTATATAATGAACCTAACTTATATCCACAAGCACCATTTTAGGTGTCGATTTTTTTAAAAAGCAGATAACTAATGAAATATATACGAGTTACAGACCCTAGAAATGCCTAGTGTTTCCCATTGGTCTAGAAGATCACTCCTGTAGTGCTCCGAGCAGCCGGACTCTGTACAGGATATACAACTGGCATTATTTGTCGTCCCTTCGCCCCCAAACTTCCATGCGGTAGCAGTATTCACTCCATTACCCGTCTGAACACGGAAAACTAAATGAAATTACAAAGTATTTACAAATCGGAAATAAAATAATGCTTAAAATCAAACATGGTTGTGCTGAGTATGATTTATTACCTCAACAGATTCATAAAAGGGGCCCAATGAGGTCAAAAAGACTGAAAACGTAAAATTGAAAATGATTTAAAAGATTTCAAAAGAAGAAAATGCAAGAAGAAATATTCTCAGAATAAAATTTAAGGAAAAATTAGTCAATATTCTCATCATCTGTAAATTCTCATCATCTGTAAATTCTTATCAGTTCTCATCATCTGTCAATTCTTCTAGTCATCTATCAAGTCTGCTAGTCATCTGTCAATTTTTCTAGTCATCTGTTAATTCTTCTAGTCATCTGTCAATTCTTCTAGTCATCTGTCAATTCTTCTAGTCATCTGTTAATTCTTCTAGTCATCTGTCAATTCTTCTAGTCATCTGTTAATTCTAGTCATCTGTCAATTCTTCTAGTCATCTGTCAATTCTTATAGTCATCTGTTAATTCTTCTAGTCATCTGTCAATTCTTCTCATCATCTGTCAATTCTTTTCACCAGCTGTCAATATTTTCTCATCAATCGATCAAACCTTGGACCCTTGACCTGCGCACTGCCAGTATATGGATGATTCGGATATCCTCTTTATAAGTGAATCTTTAGATTATCTATTCCACAAAAGGAAATACATTTTCAGATTTTAACGAAAAGTTGAAACAAAATAATTCTTACAGATATCAAAAGAAACCTTTCATAGCTATTATTCGTGATTTTTGTACATTTCACTTACCTGTGGTCTCTTTTGGCCCTGTATCCTTAATAGCTTTACTGGATTTTACTGCAGATTTACTTGATACATATGTAGATTTGCTTGACTTGCTAGATTTTGGAGGCATTGTAGATGGGCCAGCTCTAGCAGCCACATTCACTCTTGATGATTTTTTCGCCATTGCTATATTCAAACCATTCGCACGTGCGTTGTTCGGTTCAGTTACTATGCACCAAATTACAAGGACGATAAAAACCTGAAAAAAGAATTTTATTGCAGGTGAAAATTATGTCACCGCTGATGACGTCGACAAATTAACTTACTGTTACGCAATAACGAAAAAAAGAATTCCACCGGGTTTTGTTGTTGTTGTTGTTATACTTTGTTGTTGTTTTTCTAAAATGATAATCTTTCTGTGTAAAAGGACCTAATAAACTAATATTAAAACTTAAAGATTCTTTCTAGATTGACAAATTTTAAAATATAACATAATGATATTGCCATGTCAAAGATTATGTTTTAGAATATTCAAAGCGATAATATTTACCATGGATGGTAGAGTCACTGCCTGCATTGTTGATTTTATATGACTCGTCAAATTATGTTGAAGTTTTGCTGGAAAAAAAAGTCATTTTATCTGCTGTTATGAATATATATCTACCATAATTTGTTTACAGATTTATCAATAAGGAACTTTGATTTAAACCTATTTTATTGCCAAAAATAAGACATATACATACATGTAGACAGTTACAATACAATGACATGACAAATTTGGCAAAAGGGTTGACCCACAAGTTCTCTCAACATTAGCAACGGGTCTTCCCTGATGCAATAAATTACAATAACTTATTTTACAAGAATGACTATCAGTTATAGATAGAAGTAACAAAACTCACACATATATAGTACTTGGCTTTAAAAATGATTTTAGGTAAGAAAGAACAATAAAAATGATTGGAACTAGTGAATGATATTTGGTTTTCCCTTATTCAAATATTCACTCATGGAATACGCAACTCTCCCCCACCCCATTTTGCCAAATTAAATGAGATTACTAAATTAAATATAGAGTTTGAACGTCTATGTTAACATTTATGTATTGTGATACATTTATATTGATAGTAATAAAGATTTTGACATATTATATTATGGCCCTATACAAAGGGTTGTTTGGAAATATAATCCGAGCCGCTTGTTAAGGGGTTATATTGCAAACAACCGTTTATATACTACCAATATAACCTGTCAGAATTATTTATAATAAATTTATAATTTACAGCAAGCATCTTTCTTTTTTAGAGAAAAAGGTGGCATTAATTAATAAATTGACAGCAGTCGTGTACATATAAATCTATATAAACGAGACGATTATCCAATGAAAAGCGACATTTCAAACATGCAGTATTTTAAACAATGAAGTATACGCGTTCAAAAACAAGATTTTCAAGACAGGTTTTAAGGTTGTTATAATAATAGGGCTAGCTCTATTTATTTTCATAGAGTTAAGGAAATGACACGGAAAGGTTTTTTTTACAAACCATCTACGACGTCCCGTTAGGGCCATTAGGGCCATAATTGTTTAATTATTTCGATTTTGTACTATCGCAATTTCATTAAGTTATTTGTGTGTCGCGTTGGCCCTAACAGGAAATTATACCACTTAGCTGCCTGAATCATTTACCATATAATGTTGTACTGCACATACCGAGTTGCATAGATTATTTTACCCGAACGGTATTAGGTCACAGTTTGACTAGAAAACTAGTTATCAAATGTACATAAGCTTTTAAAGTCTCGACTATGTACACACAATTTATCACAAACAATATCACAAAACATGTACACAACCATTCTATAAAACCTGTCCTACTGTACGGATGTGAGATATGGGCTTTTGGTAATATTGATTGTATTGTAAGAGTACATCTTAAATTTTTAAATTGTATGGTTTACGGTGAAACTGGTGTTAACCCACTATCTATTGAAATTAAATGTAGAATTATATCATACTGGTCTGACTTAGTCATACCACAACAGAACAAATTACCGTGTTTGTTATATCGTATTTTGTTAAATAATTTTAATAACTCCCAGACTGTATCTAGATTAAGATTTCAGTGGATAAAATTTGTTCAGAATATTTTGTATGAATGTGGTCTGTATAACATTTGGCATAACCATGAAATTCATAACCATAAATGGTTAAGGATGTCAGTCAAACAAAAATTATCAGATTTATTTTTGAATGAGTGGTATTCTGATATTGAGAATTCTAGTAAATGCATAAATTATAGAGTATTCAAACATAATTTTTGTTTTGAAATATATCTTGTAAAAACTCCATCAAAATTTTTACAATACATGATAAAATTTAGAACAAGAAATAACAAATTGCCAGTAGAAACCGGAAGTTGGAACAACATCGAACTTAAGAGGCGTGTCTGTACATTGTGTGATAGATCAATTGGCGATGAATTCCATTATATTTTTGAGTGTCCTTGTTTTGATAACAGCAGGAAACGTTTTTTGAAACATAACTATTTACAGAAACATAATATACATTCTATTGATCTTCTTATGAACACTGATGTTAACATTCCAGATTACAAAAAAACTTTGTTTATTTATTAAAGAAATTATATTAAGATTCAAATGAGCCAAAAATTGTATAAATTTTATGCTGTGGAGAACCCTTTCTAATACTGACTCTCCCGCAATATTTATGTTAACAATTTATATATCATGTTATTTTGATACTGTCTGATTCTGAAGCCTCATTTTTAAATATTATGTACATGTAAATGAATTATTACCTCATGTTGTCATGTTTGTATGATCTGAGTGAATAAATGAATTGGAATATATAAGAATTACACGAGACAAGAGAATCGTTCACACAAGAAACTACTTATAACAAAAATCAAATACAATATGTGGCTAAAAAAAGGTAAAAGTGATTATCCAAAGTACCTGTAAACATAATTATATTGTTAAACAAAGTTTGTAAAATACTTATTAGTTAAAAAGAGGAAATATAGTTAAAATGTTATACAGTTATTCAAAATTTATTACAAAACCTTATTTCTATAATAATAATAGATAGAATACTATAAGTATTAAGAGACACTCACGTTTGATTAAAATATCCTCGATTAATAATCAAAGCGTGTATGTGTGTTTATATATTCGATGAAATTATGACTAGATAGTTAACATGCGTTTCATTTGTTGTAACATCTGTGAAAGTGAATATTTGTTAATATATTTATTTCCAAGAAAATAAAATAGCTTAGGTTTAAAAAAATCGTTATTCAACTAAGTCACGTGACTGTAGCTCGGTATTATGTTCAAGCTAGATTAAAGGCCCATTATGCCCGAGAAATGTTTTTATTTTTATTTCTGAAAAGCTTCCCCCCCCCTTTTCACGTGTATGTGCGTGTGTGAGTATCTCGTTTAAGTTTCCAAAAAGTTACTCCTTTGCCAACTATCTGAACCATCCTTTGCTTTTCTGTTGCCTTTTGATAATTTGTATAGTTATATAGTGATTTAGAATTTTGTATGGAAGTAAAAAGAAGCCTTCTACTTTGGTGACATTTTGCTACTTTTTTACGTCAAACAATTACACATTCAGCGCTACTTTTTTCGGGTAATAAACATTTGCTAATATTAACGTTATAAAACTACCCATGTTTTCCCTTTCTAAAAAAAAGAACAAATATTCATTTTTCAGTGTTTTTTTAGGAAAATTGAAAAAATGATGGTTTCAGAATGGAGACATTTACGTTAAAAATTGTTACATTCAATTAAATTTGAGTTCTTCAAACCTCTGAAAAGGGTTTTTTATCCCGAAACCAAAATAAGTGCCTATGAATGTACCATGTGAAAGTACTTATTCACTGCAATTAAACTGTATATAAAACAGTTCTATTTAGTTGTTCCTTGATCGTCATATAGGCCAGAAAAACCTTAACTTTACTAGCAAGCTCTTGAGGGCATAATATGCAGTAATTATACGCAAAGTAACTCATGGAGAACAACAAGTCGGGCATACATGGGTTGTTCCCCTTGATGCAATATTGTAACTATCTGAAAAGATATGAAATGAAATTATCATCAAAACTTCCATGTTCGATACAACTTTCATTTATAAGCAATAGACTTAGAAAGAAAATCGCATTAAATATGCAAAAAGATGTAACTCGTTGCTTTGTGTAGGAATCGAGAAACTACTTCCTAATTTGATTTTCAATGTCGAAACTATTTTTTGGTGTCTTAACATTTTGGTCCATTACAATTCCTTACAATTTTAGGGTGTAAAATATATATTTGATATGAATATACGTATATGTCTTTAGATATTTAATACATGTATGTATAGATATTTAATACATGTATGTATAGATATTTAATACATGTATGTATAGATATTTAATATACATGTAAGATTAGTTATTTTCTTCGAGGGGTCCGTATCCTCAGCAGTGATTTTCCTGCTTATATAAAGGCCTCTTCCCCAATTGAAATCTTCTTTAAATCATGCAGTTTTCCCAAAAATCTAAACTGAAACCTGATTTCTTACTTCCCAAATCAGCAATTTTAGCGGTAATTTTTCCCAAAATCAAGAGGCTAAGGCCTCTTCCCAATTAATTATGTGAGAAAAATCACTGCTCAGTGCCTGAAAGGGCGGATGGACCCTTATTAATACACTTTATCTTCTCCGGATTAATGTAGTCGTACCGTTTCAGGAGCACGAGAAAGTATTGAAAAGAAATCAATGATATATTCTTGCCGATGTTCGACATTGAAAATTAGAAAATTTAAAGTAAATTGCAGTTTGTCTATCAACGTACATTGCATAGTGTCGATGTGCTATACGATTTCAACCTTTAACATCTTTTAAAGTTAAAAATAAAGTCCTTATATACATGTAGGTTATATAAGATATATCCTTTGATATATATGTAGATGCATAAATAGAAAGGTTTCAGCTTGATTTTAGTCATCTAGTTCGAAGTTTGGTCGACATGTAAGAAAATCTGTGAAAATCTTGAATATCCCACAAATATAACTTGCTTTTATGCCACTGTAATATTTTTTTTTAAAAGTTGAGAGATTCTCATAATATAATTATACTTCAAGAGATCTAGAAATTCTATCAACACCAAATCATTAGAAGTGGGAGGGGAAATCAACATCGGGGCACTTGTCTTAGGTTAGAATCTCAATGCTGACCTTACATATAGGATCTCTTAGAAAAATAAAAGTGTATGGGCGGGGACCTATCTCTTCCCTGCCCCATCTTATGATTGGAAACTTGTTATTTATCTGATAAACCATTTGCATCTTAGTCAACAAAATATTAAACATTGTTTGAAAATATGCGAAAAAGTACTTATATATAACTGGCGAGTTTAAGAACTTATGTATATATATATATATATTCCTAAAACTGGCGAGTTTATATGGGCTTGAAGTGTGTCGGTTATATCATTCAGTGCCCACTTTAGTACAACTTAAACAATCTTAAAACGAGAGACTTGAGATATGACTATTTGCATACTGTTAGCTGAATTCTGACAAATCTCTTAATGAAAGTATTTTACTTTATAGTTGACATGATTAAGGCCGTGTTGATTATAGCAATGTTTGACTACAGCTAGAATTTGTATAGATTGTTGAGATTCGGAAAATAAACAGAAAACTTACGAAGCAGATAAAAACCAGTTGCTTTCTTAACGGCGGCCCATGGGATCGTTCAGTGATAGCAGACGATGGAATATTTATTTCTGAAAGAAAGCAGGGCTACTTTAACCGACCTGTGAAACGTAAATTGGAATTATTAAAATATTATAAATAAGTAAGTTTATTCTTATCGTATTTGAAAGTTTGTTTTATTTAAGTCAAGAAAAGATCAAGTGGTAAATATAATATAACACTGAAACTCTTGTTTTTAAATGAATGACCAACTGAGTGGTCGACTGACTGACTTCGATATATACATGTGCATGTATAACTTATATTAGTTGACCATTTATCAATTGACCGATTGACCACGATAACTAAATGAGCTCTAATCTGTCGGGCAATCATCCGACTGTCCAACCGACCGACTGATCGACCGACCATTACAATCCGAAACGACCCGAACCGGCCGACAAAATTTTTAGATATTAACAAACATTCAGTTGATTTCGCTCTCTTTCATGCTTCATAATTTAAAAAAAAGCGTCAATATAAAGCATTAAAAATCAAATATTTCATTTCCTGCTTATGTTACTAAATTTCACATTTATATAGCAAATGAAACAAAAGTGTTTAAAGTGTAGCAAAGATAATATCGAAAATCTAATACTAACCCATAAAACTGAAGTTGTCAATATTTCTATATTAGTTCAAATAAAACGCCGTTGCTTTATTTGATAAGCACTTTTCAAATTATTAAATTGAAGCGACATACGTTTGAAGTTAAAGTTTCGTTCTTTGCGAATTATTTGCAAAAATTAAAATCAAATCGGAACATTTGTTCACCAATATGCTTGCATTTATATGAGCCGCGTCACGACAAAACCAACATAGTGGGTTTGCGACCAGCATCGATCCAGACCAGCCTGCGCATCCGCGCAGTCTGGTCAGGATCAATACTGTTTGCTATCAGTTTTTCTACTTGTAATAGGATTTGTAAGCGAACAGCATGGATCCTGATCAGACTGCGCGGATGCGCAGGCTGGTCTGGATCCATGCTGGTCGCAAACGCATTACGTTGGTTTTGTCGTGACGCGGCTCAAATACCCGTGCCGCTATTGTGACTCCGTACACGATGATACAATGTATGGCATTAACATCCATCACAGTCAAATTTATTTATTTTATTCTTTATACTTGTTCCGCTAAGACTGATTGAGAAAAGTTAAAAGCACATTATGCCTCGGAATCCAAAAAATATTTCTTCTTCGGAAAGGGCAGTCATGGTTTTTGTAACACTTAAACGATGTAACTTATGATGTTACAATAGCGCGCTCAATGTGAAAAAAAAATTGTCATAGACCTAAGAAAATGGAAAGAAAGTAGTATTTTAACTTCATACAAAATACTTTATCACTGTAATTGTACTACTCGGAAAAAAGATGTTCCACATATTTGCCAAATGAGTTAACATTTTTAAAACTATAGCAGGACAACAAAATATAAAAGAAAGTTTTTTTGATAAATGAAAATAAAAGCATTTCATCGCCAAAATGGGCCTGTAAAGAGAATTCATACAAACATTATTCTGTTTATGTTTTCACAATTTCACACTGTTATGTAAATCATTTATAATCGATTGTATGTTGTGATATTTTTCATCGGTGAGAATAAATATGTTGTGACATTCTTCATTGGAGGGAATATTACAATTTTGATATTCCTCATCGGTGAGAATATTATGGTTTGATATTCTTCATCAGTGAGAATGTAAAGTTTCTTCATATTCTTAATCGGTGAGAATAAAATTTGGTTCGTTATTACTTGGTGAGAATATCACGTTTTGATATTCTTCATCGGTTAAAATAGTATGTTTTATATTTTTCATCGGTGAGAATATTATATCTGGGCATACAAGATGAGAAAGTAACGTAAATTAACTGAAATTTCAGTTTTATGATTTATTTTTACATTTATGCATATAATTTTATGGGTGTAATGTTAACACAATACGAAACCGCTAAACATATTATTTACGTCAAATATATACATTTAAAAATAAAATAGAGAAAATAAGATGATCTTTTTTATTAGCAAACTAAATTATGTGTGAAGCCTTGATATGTATTCTTTCTTTCTTTTAATATTCAATCTCATTCATGTTACCGTCTTAGAAGTAAATGCATAATTATATCTATTTTAAATTTCTCCTGTTTCAGAAGTTCCTATGTTACTATAATTAACTTACAAATAATTTTTATAACATTTTCAAAATTTTAAGACTAATTTTCATAGCATTTTCAAAATTTTAAGACTTTTCAACTTTTCACGTGACGAGAATTTTGTTGCTGTTGTCTTTCTTCTTTTATATCATTCGTCAAACTTTAACCAGTTACAATAACCGAAGTCTTTGTAAGCACCTTTGCTCAAATAACATTTTCTAGTTCAGAAGGTGTTTTTCCCTTTAAATTTAACATTAACAACACTATATTTGCTACTGCATTCTCAAAGTTATATCAATTTAAACTTTTTAAACTCGAATTTAATTAACAAAGTCTTAAATATTCTGTTATAAGATATTAATTTTAGTAATTCGGCGGTCATTATTGTTATCAAAATTACGCTTTTTCTTGTTGTAACTATACTTTTAAAGGCAATATTTAACCAACGATTTTCAGAATATTTACTCGAAGTTACGATCGAAGATACCTATTTTTACGGAAATTGCCGAGTACAACCCGGTCAATGATTCGGCAGGTGTTCGTCAAAGTGTTTATTAAATTACACTTGAAATGTGACTTGTACTCCAAACGACCGAATAAGTTATGTAAGAACCGTGATAATCCAGGCTTATTTTAGCAGGGATTGTATTAAATAAATCATTTTTAATCCAATTTTTACAATAAATATAAATTTGTGGGAAATTGGCAACATGTACCTTACAACTAAATTCTTTGAGCTAATTTATTATTTAAGACAATATGCGCATTTATATCACACATAGTTGGAAGCAAGAACAATGCAGCCGTAAAATCTTGTTTGATTTGCCGTAATTATGAGCTGCCGGAAACAGGATTTTAGGTCTTTTGTCAGACAATTCTCAATTCATCGAGTAATTTAAAAACAAATATGTGATAAAGTATTTTAAACAAGTGTGCCGTAGAAAAAGAAGAGCATTATGTATCAATAATTTAGAATGGAATCTCTATTAGCCGATGAATTTATCAAAAGCTAAGAATTTTATTGCCAGCTTTTATTAAGTGCACAATTTTTGGATAGATGTATAATTTTCAAATAAAAAATCAACTGGAATATTTTATTTGATAGCACGGTACTTCTGACAACTATTGGCGATGTGACGACTTCCTGTGTAGTACTTTAATCAATAAGGAGACAATACAAAAATGAACAATTATATCAACTAGATCAATTTTTGTGAAAATAGAGAAAATAATTACAGACGATTTGATGTGGTAGAGTAAAGCGCCTAGCAGCAAACGATTTAGAACCGGAAGTGTGCAAAATGTACCGGAAGTGGAGTTATGGATATGAAATATTATTACCCGTTATTTATGCGCAATAAGATAATTCAAATACAAACAAAATAAAAATATAAAAAACCCAGCGTGACCTATATTTAAAACGTGTCATTTAAAAACAGATGTAGTACGTAACTTTAAAAAGTTCTTATTGGAAATTAAGAAATAACTTGCTACATTAATAGTTTGAACGCTGTATCTATAAGGATTTTAGATTTGATAAATGCTTATTTAAGACTTTAACTAACTTGGATTTAATTAAGAAAATACATGTAAAATGACAATAGATTCACGTATAAAACAGCTAGCAGTTCGACCTCGGCTATTCTGTCCTATACTACCTAGGTTAGGGCAATGTTTCCACAGTCCAGGTTGGTATACCTTAGTCATATACATGTAACTATTTTACAATATCTTTTTTTCTTCTGGGAAAAAGAGCTTATATTAAAGCTGCACAACTCCAGATAAGTAAAAAATAAAGAAAATCAACCGTGAAAAATATATGTGCAAAAATCGCTCTGCAAAGGTCGCGCTGTGTGTAGGGGTTATAACAACTAAAATCAATGGTCATTATAAAAATATCTGATTGATCAGTACAATGTAGAATACAAATACAGTGTACTTGTAATCGTCACGTGTTCTTCATTATATATTATCCCAAATCATAAACAATATTTGTAAATCACTTCACTGTAGTAATCTGTAACATAAAAGAGTATAATCTGACACTTTTCAAACACTAATTTCTGATAATAACTAATGAAAGTCTAGCAAAAAAGTACTCAAAACTTCGGTCTTAAATTTCACTGGAAGCCTGTTCTGTATATTTACACATAAATCATTTTACATAGATACAATTTTTACTTATATATATCATGTATCGTAAATATTCTCGTATGTCAGTTAATTAAAAGGACTCCACTGAGGTTTTTTTACATGACGGGACTGGAAATATTTTTTTTTGAGATTATTACTCTATTGTTGTAGATCTATACTAATAACTTATGTGCAAAATTTCAGATCATTAGTTCGCTCCGTTTTTTCATAATACTTTTTATAATAGTGAAAAATGACCCAAAATTGAAAAGCGTTTAAACGCTTTTCACTCAAATCGGACAGAGAATAGCACAAACATACGATTTTTAATGTATTTCTTGTATATTTCTTAGTTATATTTTATTTATATTTCTGTGTTAAGTGCTCATGTTGATCTATGTGAAAAATTAAAATTTTATGTATTAGCCTTATAAACCTCAGTGGAGTTCCTTTAAAGTTCCATCCATATTTTATCAGTGGTTGGTAATTAAAAGCGAATACTTTCACAAATTTGACAAAGTCATTTCATCTTCCTTTATATCATTTTGTATTAGGTATACAAATTGTTAAGAATAATCAATGATGATTAAATATCTTTATTCTCTTAACACATTTTCTTATTTCAAATAGTCTCTTAAAGAAAATCTCGTTCATGTACATGTAAATATTACTAAACCGACGTTGTTTATTTTGAGGACATTTCTTTGACATGTTAAACCTATTAGGGTACTTGTAATATTTAATGGCCTAGATAGATGTTTTTTTTCTTTGCCTTAATATCTTTATATTTTTTAAAATAAAACAATTCTGTTCTCATTTTCCTCATAGAAATGTCTACAGTGCAGACGTGGACACTATGGCAACGTATGCCGCCCAGGTACCAGCTCACTACACACACTTACGACAATGACACCGATGAATTTTCGGTTATCGGTAACGCAACCGATAGAACACTGAGTCCTCGACCTCGACCGGCCTCAAGACCAGTTTCGAGCAGTCGCCGACCAAGTCGACCTGAATCCCGGACGTTTCCGCAAAGAGAGACGTTAAGAGAAAATTTTATGTTGTCTTCTAACGACCGGGATCAAGTTCAAGCGGAAGTTTCCAAAGCGTTAAAGCAGCAGACATCTAAAAGCTTTTCTTTTCCAAAGAGGAATTCCGATTATGTAAACACATTTCAAAAACAACGTCGGGTAAATTCTGCTCGTCGGCGATTAGCGGAAACCCCGCCGTCGCCTAACGTTTCTGCGTCACAGCAGTCACCGGATATTTCGTCATCGCAACGTGCTCATACTGCTCCGGTATTTCCGGTGACGAATCTTGAAGTACAGAAAGAAAAACAATCAAAATTTAGTGGAATAGACCCGTCAAATGCAAAGCCATTACGTGTAAATGTAAATGTAAAATCAAAGTCTGTAAGTGAACCAAGCAAAGTTGATATCTTTCAATTTGACGATTCAAGGTCATTAACAAGCGCCCCAAGCCCTGTATACAAATCACGAAACTCTGAAACAAAACCTAAAAAATACGTAGTTCAGGATACAAACCGTGCCACAGTATATATAGATAGTGGAAAAGTAATGTATTTTGGAAAATCGAGACACGATTTAAGTCAGTTGCTTAAAACCCAGTCATTACGTGCGGACAGAAATACTTGTTTCCTTGCTGAAATACGCCGTGACTATTTAAAGCACCCGAAATATGATAATGGTCGGAACTCTTCAAGCAAAGTAACGGAAAATGACCCAAGACGCATTGCAAATGAAAGAGTTGATTATAATAGGCGAGTAGAACACATCCTTAATTATTATGACGAAAATGGAAACATCACACAGCCACCGCAACCACGCCCTACCTCCGGACAAAGACTTAAGTCACCCAAGGGTGCTCGTGTAAAGGGATTGTCATTAACCCCATCGGCTCCATCCCGTCCCCCGTCAAGGTCGCCCTCACCAGACCCTTTAGATGGTAACGGTGACTTCATTCGATTAAACAGACGGCTTAAACTCCACGAACGTCAGTTTTATCTACGCACGCCGGGTATGCAACATGGGAACGCCGTGGGCGACATGGATAAATGCCGTTGTAGCATGTGCCGCATGGAGCTTCAACTCGCCCTTGTTACTGGATTCACGGCTCATGCTGGAATTAACGCAGCTGGAAGCGGGCGAACTGCAAGTTCAGAACAAATCGAAAATGGGAATAACTTTGAATCACAACTAGGTTTAAAAGAAGGACCAAAAGAAATAAATCAGTCAAATAAAAAGAATGGCACCTTTAAGGATAATTCCCATAAAGTATCTTTTCAACATCCGGAAGTTGATTTAGTCGCGCAAGCGCAAGAGACTAGATTTATTAGCTGTAAACTTCCGGGTGTAGATGAGGTGACTGCAAGTGAATCTGGTTTTGAAAGTTCACGGACTCATGACGTCGTTTCTACAGGACCGGACGACATCGATTCTTGACCAAGATTCGAGCTCAAACTTTCAGAGTACATGCAGAATCTCATAATCGTGGGGAGAAAATAACGTCGACCATATATATAATTGTTTGAAAAAGAATCATTTACAAAACACGAGTTTTCTCAGGGGTGCAGCAAGGCCTCTTAATAAGAAAATACAACCTACGTTACTACGACCTACTACCTACGAGGACTAACAGAGTAGAGTACATGAAAAAATTCCTATACATGTATTTTAATACACTTTAATATATATCAAGGTTCAATTATAACGGAACATGGATAACAGACGTAATCTGCTGCGAACTTATTTTACGTACTGGAGTTTATTTTCCCCATATGTTTTTACAAGATTCAACGAAGGGTCATTGGAAACTGTGAAGCTGGCCATAAATCTTGCAACGGCGACAAGAACATGTAGTGTTTACGTGTATATTTTGACCGACGCTGTTTTAGAAAAATGAAAAAGTTCCATGTAGACTTCATTGAAGCATGCATAGTTCGATGTTCTTGCCTTTCAGTGCCGTACAGTGATGCTTTGTGTAAACTTTTCTTCGTCAACCAGCATCATAATGAACAAAAATAGAAACGAAATTTCTAAATTCTTAAAGTATTACATTCAATATAACAGACTAGATTTGCTAGGTTTAGTGTCGCAACCGATGCAAACTCTCGTCATCAACATATAAGAATGTCAATTTTTCATTGTCTTCCTCATTTAATTACATATGTATCTACATTTGATAAATTTATCTTAATTCCCATTTCATTTTATAAAATCTTTTGACCCACGTCAATCGTTTATAAATACATCTACAAGTTAAAGATCCTGTATGTTTTGTGATTGATATTGTTACTGTATGTATCATACACTTGCAAAATATTATATATGTATATAATTATGCAAATAAAACAATTTTCAAACATCCAAGATTATGTAAAATGTGTGCTGCAAATATTTGTGCACATTATATTTAATCAATAAGTTACATGCATTTATTTCTTATTGGAAAATTTGACTTGGAATTTATAGAAAATAAATTTCTAATTACCTCCCTTTATTTACGCAAAATGTTAAATTGGGTAATATCTTTATAAATAATGCTAATTTGAACTTACAAGATTGACAAATCTTAATTTGAGCATCATATTTATGAAATAAAACCATGAAAAAAATGTGTTACAGGATCTTTAAATTGTTTCGAAGATACGTAGAGCCATTCGCATTTTGTTCTTTATTTGAAGTATTGTAATTTCTTTGAAGTGTTTTATCACGCTAGATGTACAATGACTACTTAGTATAAAAATAAATGAAAATTAAACTTGTTTTAGCCTCTGTTGTTTATAAACTTAATGTGTTCTTATATAAATCAGTGGTGACGCTTCAATGGTAGGACTATTTTGGAGACATGGTTGAGTGGTTAACGTGTTAATACTCGTATTCAATTTCCACATTGATTTTTAGAAAATTCCATTTACAATCAAGTTTTAACACGGAAAATTAGATTCTTTTTAGTTCACATCACATGGAAATCAAAACAAAACTTGTGTATGTTTTAGACAGATGCCATACTAGTGTTTATATACTACAAGTTACTTGATAGGCCGTAGCAAGGTTGGGTCAAGGTCTGACCCTAGAGTGTCCATGGAAAAGGCTGATCCCTGCATGATCTATTGAATACAAGTACTAGTAAAATAGGTCTTATGTAATAATAGCTGTTATATACCAAAAGAAAATTGGGAGTGGTATAAAACCCATAAATAATGATAACAACAACACGTGCATAGAATTCTTTTTAATGTTAAAAACAATATTCACTACCTAAATAACAGAATGCTTGGCACTAACTGTATACTTTTTCTTAATAAATAAGAAAATTATTACTTTTCTCCTATATAAATTTCAAACAAACGTGAATATGTTCTAGAAAAACATGTATATACTTGGTTAATCAAAGAATTCAAAAATTTCTAAAAATGTCTTAGAATACAAATTAACATTATAGCATCATCTGATACAATTAGTTTCCCTAAAATTACATAGAGGATATTTGTTTGTTTCAGTGTAAGATCGAAAAATATTTCACCGAGTGAACACCAGATGCAATATTTTCCACGAGTGGCGTAGCCACGAGTGAAAATATAATAGCTGGGTTCACGAGTGAAATATTATTTGATCTTACATGTAAAACAAACAAATTTTCTGTTTATTTCATGATTTAACGATTTTTACACCATTTTACTGATTTTTTGCCGCGTAACGTCATGCTCTTTATCTTCATGACGTTCATCAATAATGACGTCAATGTTAAGCAAATATAATTCCTATGATTATTTTTAGATTTTGATGTTTTTCAGCACAAACGTTCGTAATATTTACGAACTACAGTTATCACGTACATTTGTTATTATGATTGACTACATTTCCGCTGAAAAAAACATTCATAATGATAAATATTTTATTTTACGCCAAAATAGTTCGGCTACTGTGAAAATTATTTTTGGTAATCATTACTGTGAAATTATCAGAATATAAATAACCGTTATAATTTCAGTAATCTACTGCAAAACATGTAATAAATTATAATCATGTAACCCCAAATTAACATTCCCTTTTTGATAATTAGTGGGTAAGGTCGTAGTATATATAGGTAATTTGGGTTAAACTGGTTAAAAAAAATTAACAAAGGATATGATATAATAGCAAATATCCATTGAAAAATCTGATATTTTGAGAAAAATTTTAAAAGTAACAAAATGAGAATACAACACTCATTACCCTGATGAAATCAATGACAGAAATATAAACCTCTCTCTCCTTATTGGTCATATTGTACTGGATATATCATTCCAGTGACACATATTGTACGGGATATATATTTCCAGTGACACATATTGTACGGGATATATCATTCCAGTGACACATATTGTACTGGATATATCATTCCAGTGACACATATTGTACGGGATATATCATTCCAGTGACACATATTGTACGGATATATCATTCAGTGACACATATTGTACTGGATATATCATTCCAGTGACACATATTGTACGGGATATATCATTCCAGTGACACATATTGTACGGGATATATCATTCCAGTGACACATATTGTACTGGATATATCATTCCAGTGACACATATTGTACGGGATATATCATTCCAGTGACACATATTGTACGGGATATATCATTCCAGTGACACATATTGTACTGGATATATCATTCCAGTGACACATATTGTACGGGATATATCATTCCAGTGACACATATTGTACCGGATATATCATTCCAGTGACACATATTGTACTGGGTATATCATAACAGTGACACATATTATACTGGATATATTATTCCAGTGACAGACAACAGTATCATACCAGTAAGTTATTACAGTACCAATCATTAAGAGATTGTGGTACCAACCACTCAATATGTGGGACCCCTTGTTTTAGATTGAATTCCAAAATTTTCAGATTGGTACCAAAAATCAAAAATTGTGGGAAAAAAAACAAAAAAAGTTTTGGGACCAATCAGTTAAATTTTGGTACCAACCCGTAAGGGGGTGTGGACCAACTTTGGGAAAAATGTCCAG